CTCTCTCTCTCTCTCTCTCTCTCTCTCTCCACGTCGAGCAAGCTTCAGTTTTGTCTGAGTAGATTGTACTCGTTAGTTAGGTATTGCAGGACACTACTTTATTCGTTTAAAACGAAGCAGACCCTTGTGAAAGAGGTGCTTGGAGGAAGGTTGTGAGGCAGGAGGGCCAGATGCATAAAAAGAGTAACAAAGATGGACAATGTTAAAACATGGACTGGAGGGCAGTACAAAAAATAGAATATCTAGTGTTAGTGGGGTGGGGGCGGTGGAGGAGGGAAGGGGGTGAGAAGAAACAAGAAAAGCTGGCAAAATTGTTATTAATACCCAGACTGTAAGGCAAGCATCGTTCACAAAAACCTACACCCCTCACCATGTGTTAAAACGGTGAAATGGTATAAGTTTAAAGGCCCTATCAACACTTTTAGATTATTTAACAGGCGGGACCTACGGGTTTATCGTCTATCTCCTAAAGTACAGAGACAAATGGGAAATTTGTGAAAAGTGTCTTTCCAAAAGATACATCGTCGGAACGAGCGACCATGTGTTATGATAAGCAAAATCAGAAACGACGGACGCCAGTTATATCAACAGCATGCATCAACAACACCAAAAAAAAACCCGACGAGAACTGCAGAAAAGAAAACAACACCAAAAACCATATCAATTAGGTTTTCGTTACATCTCCTGTTGTGTTGCACCTACCGAGAAATAACAATAATGATCACAACAACAACAACAACAACAACAACAACAAAAACGACTACAAGAACAGTGAACTCACAGCGAGCAGTTGTCCGGGGTTTTTCCACACAGTGAAGGTATACACTTTGACCACCGTGGTGGAGAACAGAACCATGCCAAACTGGGCGTTGTGTTTGCCCCAGTAAAAACCGCCTGTGTGAGGGGTGGGGGTGGGGTGTGGAGTAATAGACGTTAGATGTTACGGCAGTGAAGAAGAGGGTGTGTGGAGGTTGATCTTCTGTCTACACAGTGTTCCTACTTCTTAAATGACCATTTTTCGAGCTCGCTGTCAAAGTTTCTACCCAGTGTTTCTTCACTTTAAATGATTATATCTATCACCATTGTCCACTATCTCCCCTAGGTTTCTCATTTCTCTCCCCATCTGTCTACTGTCCACTATCTCCCCTAGGTTTCTCATTTCTCTCCTCATCTGTCTACTGTCCACTATCTCCCCTAGGTTTCTCATTTCTCTTCCCATTTGTCTACTGTCCACTATCTCCCCTAGGTTTCTCATTTCTCTCCCCATCTGTCTACTGTCCACTATCTCCCCTAGGTTTCTCATTTCTCTCCTCATCTGTCTACTGTCCACTATCTCCCCTAGGTTTCTCATTTCTCTTCCCATTTGTCTACTGTCCACTATCTCCCCTAGGTTTCTCATTTCTCTCCCCATCTGTCTA